CACTCATACACATAAAATAAAAATAATAAATAAAATATTTTTTAAAAAGTTGAGTTTTCATGAAATGGAAAGCTGTTGGGAAGCTGGTATAGTGGTTGCAACAAAATAATACTTTTAAACAGAAAAACTGGCAGAATTTTATACAAGAATGGAGGTTATTAAATTTGATTGTTACCAATGCTGATGATATGTGTTCTCAAGTTAGCTAAGAAAAGAACCATTTACCACTCAACAAATCAGAATCCCTGGGTTCATTCTTAGTATCATGTTCACAAATTCCTGTGAGGTTGGAAGAAAATTTAAAAGTTCATGAAGCCATTCATTACTTCTAACATCTCACTAGGTTCAACAGAGGGTGCATAGCCCATTCCATTCCAGGCTAGTTCAAATACCAGTCCCAGGAATCAGTACAGACATAGAGCTTGCTAACTTCCTAGACCACTAAGTATTTAGTAGTTCTGAAGTTAGAATTTTACTGTTTTAAATTTAAGAGTCCCCTCTTTGGCCTTATGAGCTCAAGAAGATTGAGGTATAAAATAAACAGAAAAAAAAGTAAAAGTCTAATCTCTTTTCCATTAAGTCATTTAACAAATGACCTGAGGGCCTGCCATGGCCTCTAATGGTACAAAGATAAGAACCTTCCAGAAACATATCAATAAAAATAATACCACAATGATGTATTTTTTCAAGTTTCTTTCTTATGTTATTATTAAAAGTAAATAAATTTTTTAAAAATTAAAAAAAAAATACTGTTTCAAGCTGGGCATGGTGGTGTGCTCCTTTGATCCCAGCACTCAGAAGACAGAAGCAGGCAGATCACTGTGAGATCAAGGCCAGCCTGGTCTACATAAGGAGTTCCAAGCCATCTGGAGCTATAGGGAAACCCTGTCTCAAAGAATGAAAAAAAAGAAAAAAAAAAAAAAAAAAAAACTGTTCCATAGGAACATAGTGCAGTCCCTAAAACCAAGGCCTCCAGAGGCAAATCATTGGCTTTTTATGTCAGCCGGGAGGCACAGCAGCTACATAATCCTACAGCAAAGCCATTTTCCTTTTTGAGGGGCGCCATACTGGGAACAACCTCAGGTCTAGCATGTGCTAGGCAAGCAAGCGCCCTTCACTGAGCTACATCCTCAGCCCCATTATGCTTTTAAGTCTCAGGGTTCCTATCTGCTGATAAAGTAGTATCTGCTTGAAAGTAGATAATAAATGAAATTATTTGCCAAGTATGATATTGTCTTCCAAGAGATGGTCTCTTTATATATGCTGATGAGTTGAGTGATGGCTGGCAGCCCCTTGGGGATGAGGGCTGGTCACCCCAAAATTCAGAGCAGTCCTACCCCATAACCTCTAGTTGGAGAGAGACACCAGAAGTGGCTCACCAAGGGCCCAAGCTTGAATCATATGCATGGGAAGCTTCCATGAACCCCCAGAGCACAGTGTTGGGTAGCTTCTGGAAGACTGCACGTGAGGTTCCTGGATGGTGGACCACCTGGAGAGGGCATGGAGTCTCCTTTCCCTGTACTTCACCCATGCAACCTTCATTTGTTTCCTTTGGAATGTTTGTTACAACAAACCAGTAAGTGTGTTTCTGTCCGAGCAAATTAATTATGCAAGGAGGGGTTTGAACCCCAACTTATAGCCAGTTATTCAGGAGCCCTAGTGAAACAACATGGGCTTAAGACTGGCATCCCAAAGCGAGAGCAGTCTTAAGGGACCAAGCCTTTACCTTGTGAGACCTGCTGCTAATCGGGTAGAAGGTGTCTACTGCAACAGAAATTGATTGCTGACCAGCTTTGGGGCCACACAAGTCTTTGTGTTGACAAGTGTTACCACTTGAGAAGGAAAAAGTATTTTTTCCAACAGAAAAGTATTTAACACGGTGCTTATATTATGATAAAGATTCCTGGCTGTGAGGATATGAGGGCCTCTGCATCATATATTCCCTGTGAATTATGTGCTACTGCCATGCTCTTGTATGGGTTGTTTTGTTGTTGTTGGTTTTGGTTTCTTGGTTTTTTGAGATATGGTCTCCCTCTAGCCCCAGCTGGCCTGGAACTCACTGTTGTAGACCCAGCTAGTCTCGAACTCACCTGCCTCTGCCTCCTGGGTGCTTGGATTAAAGGTGTGTACCACCAACCTGGCTCATGTTTTTCATTATTATCCCATTCACAAATTGATGACAAATTGACAATTAGGCATTCTGTTCATTGTTTTATTCACAATCACATAGGTTAAATCTTTAAACTAGAAATTATAAAACTAGAGAGTTGCTTTTAAAATAGTTTTATTTATATCACAAAATATCTAAATAAAAGCAAAGTATAACTAAACAACACATTTATCAAATATAGTAAGCAATAATTTAATAATTTACTAAGGTGTTCCTTAGGCTGTTTTTTTTTTTTTTTTTGCGTGTGTGTGTGGCTAATTCTTTTTTGAGGTCTTCTTTTGTTTAGTCTAAGGATTATGAATCTTTTAAAAAAATTTTATTATTTTTATTTTTTATTTTATATGTATGAGTTTATTGCTTACATGTGAGTGCACGCGTGTTGTGCAATGCTTCAAAGGTCAGAAGAGGGTATCGGATTCCTCTGGAACTGGAGTTAATGACGGTTCATAGCCACCATGTGGGTGCTGGGAATTGAACCCGGGTCCTCTGCAAGAGTAGTCAGTGCTCTTAACCACTGAGCCATCTCTCCAGCCCCAGGATTATGAATCTTAATTAAATGTAGCAGTTCCTGGTTTGTTTTGTTTTGTTTTTGTTGGGATCTTGTCTGTCCATTGCTTTTGTTTTCTTTAGTGAACTGGTTGTGAAAGCACCCATAGAAAAATGGACCTGTTTCTTGGGTTATGTAACAGAATCTAATCCCATTAGATCTTAAAATTAAGCATCCAGCCACATTTGAGAAACAGTCATCTCTTGATGTCCAACTCCCAAATTTTCAGATGAAAATATCTGATGACCTTAGCTTAAGTCAAGTCCCCTCCTGGCCTAGTAAGTTACAGATTTCTGTTTCTAAGAAAAAGGAATCATAAAGACAGGAACAGCAGTTGGCTGCTACTTACTTTTGTCTTCCTTTTTTGGAGGAGAGAGGAGTGAGTAGGCTAGACAAGGTCTTAACTGTGTAGCCCTGGGTGTCCTGGAACTATGTAGCCCAGGCTGCCTTGAACTCACCATCTTTCTGCCTTAGCCTTCTGAGTGCTCGGCATACAGGCATGGCTACCATGCCTGACTTACATCTTACTTTTCAATTCTCCATTGATGTTAGGGATCTATAAATAACACCAAGGAACAAATGCCACTTATAGAAGTCTAAGGAAGCCCTATGGAAGGCTAGTATCCTCTCAATCATGTGTGTCTGAAGATAGATACTACTTAGTAAATTATCTCATTTTAAATGAGAACTCTTTCAACTATTTCACACAAGGTTAAACTAGCCTAAATCTATTTAAAGAGATTGACAGTCCAATATGAACCAGTAGATTATGAGTCTGTGAACTATGCCTCCAACCCTGGCCTTTGCTTTGAGGTATGAAAGACATGTATTCGTCTTACATGACAGAAGAAATTCATTTGGAAAATTCTAAAATTCTCTTGAGTTTGAAGTGAGAATAAAAAGGAAAATACATAAAAACCCAGGGCCTTGTAGACACAAAGCCAAGCACAACCACAAAGCTACATTCTGAACCCCACACTAGACCTTTTAACATCAGGGATTCTATTTCCAGAAAGAGTTTTTCTGAAACAGGGTCAAACAGATGGAGGGTAAGAGCAACAGGACCAGGAAATCTGGACTTTGGCTCTGGCCTTCACAATCCAGTCCCCTCCTGGAGCCTTCCTATCTTAATTCATATAACTAGTGTTCTGCCAGGCGTGGGGGCTCACACCTGTAATTCAGTCATTGTGGAAGCTAAGGCAGGAGGATTACTACTGCATGTTTGAGCCCTGCCTGAGCTACCTAGTGATTTCCAGGTTAGCTTGAGTTACAGGGTTTCCTGTCTCAAAACACACACAAAAACAGGCTAGTGTTCACTGTTGTTTATCACTGAAGAAGCTTCTAAAGAACAGATATTGCAGGCAGTTTGGGACAGTCCTAGATATCAGAAGAAGCTTCCAGAAGAGGTCAGTCACAAGCAAAGTGGGACCTAAGGAAACAAAATAAGTAAATGAATATTTCAGTCCTAAATTTGCAAGAGAGGAAAATACTAAAAATATGTTATCTTAATCTCAAGGTCAAGTGTATTTCTAAATACTAATCTTTTTTGTTTCTTTTTTGTTTGTTTTGAGATGGACTCACTATGTAGCCCTGACTGGCCTGGAACTCACTATGTAGACCAGGCTGGCATTGAATTCACAGAGATGTGCTTGCTTCTGCCTCCAGAGTGCTGGGACTGAAGACATGTGCCACCACATCTGGCCATAAATATTAACTTGATAACTAAATAATGTAGAGATCAGAATTAATCTTGTTTGTTCATTTATTTGTTTGTTTATTTGAGACAAGGTCTTACTCTGTAGACCAGGCTGGCCTGGAGCTCACAGAGACCTGCCTGCCTTTGCCTCCCGAGTACTGGGATTAAAGGCAAATTTTTATTACATGAACTTTAGTAAATATTCACCAAGCAAATGTTTATTAAGCACCAGCTATACCTAAACAACCGTGTGTTATTGATGTAGACAGTGTTCTGAGTATAAAGCTGTATCAGACATGGTTGCATTTCTCAGTAGGCTTATAGTCTAGAAAAGGATAAAAGGATATAATACAGGGCACCTGAAAATAAACCCAAGGTAGTATATGATGTACTAAACCAAAGTCCAGAGGTGGAGCAGTTTGAACTCAGCAAGGTGACACAGAAGGCTTTGTGTAGAAATTGGATTCATCACTTCATTGTGAAATAGCAGCAGATTTGCCAGAAGACCTAGTCAGGGAATTCCTTCATAATCACAGAGCTGAAGAGAGAAACATTCTAGAAAAAGCATCCTGAAGAGTAATATGTTGAAATGAAAATAAAGTAGGATAGGAATTTCAGCTGCTGCTTTGGGAAACAGACTGGCTGCCACAGAGTAGGAGCCCTGGGATTCCAGTTCGAGTACCTTCATCTGTATGACTGTTACAGTCAAGATGGAGTGCTCCCCCTAAAGCTCATGTATTAAAGGTTTGGTTGCCAGCTGATGGGCTTTTGGGAAGCCATTAGATCCTGGGGACTTTAAGCTATCCCTAGTATGATGACATTGATGGCAGATGGGGGAGAATAGATGAGACCCAGCTGGAGGAAGCAGATCACTGGGGGCCATGCCCGAGAAAGATGTTTCTTGTGCCATGCCCCATCTCCTCCCTCTTTGCTTCCCTATGCCATGAAATGGGCAGCTCTTTCCACTACACCTTCACCATGATCCTGTGCCTCACACAGCCCCACAGTACTGGGGCCAAGGAAAAACTAAAAGTAACCCAATGAGCTCAGCCAAATCACTCAACCTATGGGCGCCTCAAACTTCTCTCCCATAAAATGGGAATAGAAAGACCTTGCACATTTAGGTTTTTTGTAAGATGAAGATGAAACAGTGATTCTGTAAAACATAGTGTTGTCATTTTCCTTTATTTTTATTTTTTTATTTTTTTTTTTTTGTTTTGTTTTGTTTTTTTGAGACGGGTCTCCTTGTCACCCTAGCTGGCCTAGAACTTGCTATGTAGACCAGGCTGGCTTGGATCTCATAGAGACCTGCCTGCCTCTACCTCCCAAGTGCTGGGATTAAAGGTGTGTGCCACCATGCCCAGCCTAGACTCTCATTTCTTACACTAGAGTTACTGTAAACTTAAATTTCAAAGCTCAACTGTGGAAGTTGTAACTACCTTGGATTTGATATCTGCCTCCGATTTATTTTCTTCCTTCCTTCCTTCCTTCCCTCCCTCCCTCCCTCCTTCCTCTTTCCCTCCTTCTTCCTTCCTTCCTTCCCTCCCTCCTCCCTCCCTCCTTCCTCTTTCCCTCCTTCTTCCTTCCTTCCCACCCTCCGTCCTTCCTCCTTCCTCCTCCCTCCCTCCCTCCCTCTTCCCTTCTTCCTCCTTCTATTCCTCCTTCTCCTCCTGCTTTCCTCCCCTATTCGTGCTTTGTATTTGTGGAGGGTCACAGAACCTGTAGATGTGGCAGCTAGAGGAAGCACATCACCGGGGTGGCAGGCTTTGTGTTTATAGCCTTGCCTTCCCTCCCTCCTTCCTCCTTCCCTCCCTCCCTTCCTTCCTCCCTCCCTCCTTCCTTCCTTCTTTTTTTCATTCTCTCCTTTCTTTTTAGACAGGGTCTTGTTATTGCAGCCAAGGTTGGCCTGGAACTTACTGTATAGACCTGGCTAGTACTTATGGTGATCCCCCTACCTCCTGGGGCCTGGGATTACAGGTTTATAGGAGTGTACCACCACACTCAGCTCAGCCTCAGATTTAAATGGGCCAATGTTTCTCTTATGTAAAAAGACTGTTGGGTTTTAGGGGAACACAAGGTTGATGTAAGTTAGCAGTGTCATTTTCACACAAATTACTGCTGCATTAGCTCTGTTAACTGAAAGAGCATTCCAGGATCTTGATAATATCCTATTCTATGTGCGGTCAGTAGGACCAAATCCAAAGTCATAGTTTTCACTTTGGCATCTAGTGAGTTCAGCTGAAGTGACTGGAAACTGTCATGTGAAAGACAATGAAGAGAGCCGAGGGGTATTTTCACTGAAGAGATCTGCTAGAATGTAGAGTTGAAAGCTCTGACGATTTCCCTGAAGGCATCTGGATTTCTTCTGAGTTTCTGAGTGGGAAAGGGCATGACAATAATTTTATATGAAATTTGACTCATTGATGTATCAGTAGGAAGAGTCTGTCAGCAAGAGGCAGAGAACTCAAGGACAATGTCACTGTGTTAGTTCAAAATGACCCAAATCTATGTCCATCCATGGTGAGAGATGCAGGGGAAAATGAATTTGGAATAGGAAGCTGGCCTGTGGGAGGAACTCAGATCAGTGTTTGTAGAGAAAGATACTAAACTGACTGACAAAGGGGGAATCCTTCATGATGGCAGAATGGCACAGCAAAGGAAGATGTTGGAACAAGCAAATGGCATATATGGAGTAAGGAGAGGGATGCCAAGCCCCTGCATCTATTTAGAGGAGTCTGAAAAGGTTTTGAGAAGCCAAGACAAGAAAGAAAGACTGTCCCTCATGGTCCAGATGACATCATGTATCCCACATGGGTAGAGGAGAGCTAAAGGAAGGAAGAAGACTACCTTCAGACATTGTGTTCAGTCAGTGCTTCTGGAGGGCCTTCATAAATCTGGATGTCTTCTGTTCCTCTTGCCTCATTCCTTCTTATTCTCCATCCTTGTGTAAACGGTAGAAAAGGAAGGTGAGTGTCCCATAAATCATGTCTATATTTCAGCAATATACACTGTCTTAACGCCTAGAGTTCTTAAACCAGGGAGATTTCCAGCATCTCCCCCTTCCCCCAAGAGACATTTGGTAATATTTGGAAGACATTTTTTGTTTGTAACAAAAGGCTGGGAAGCTGTCTAATGAACATCCTGCAATGTACAGATTAGCTCTCTATCAAAGAATTATCTGGTCCCAGAATGTCAATACTAATGATGATGAAGCTGACAGACTCTGAACTAGAGGGTAAGATTGGCTGATTTGTATTAGAAACACCTAGAGCCCACCAAGTTCATATACCCCACCCCTGAGGTGAGTTGCTCATAGCATATAGTCTCTGGTTACTTCTCTGAGCTTTGACCTTGTATGTGTGTGCTGAAGGTTATAACGTCAGCAGATGTTGCTCTTCTAATTTTATTTGTTCAGTGTATGTAATTCCTACTCTAGTTGGTAATTATGGCCATTGGTCTGACCAGAAGCTCCTCTTCAGTCAATCACAGAAACTGCGGGTGGGGTATGTTTAAGGCACAAAATTTAAAATCTATAGTGTGCCGTATCCTAGGCATCAACTACTCTGTTGTTTGTTTGAAAATGTGCTGAAGAACTGGGAATTGGTAAAACCACGTATGGCCATGTAGCTTTTCAGGACCATTAGTGTACCTTGACCTCTTCTAAAGAAAAAAAGAAAGCTCTTATCTCCCAAATCTCATACTGCCTTTCCTGCAACTCCAAAGATTGGAATATCAGTTAACATGAGAAATGTCAAAGTGGTTATCAATCCTTGGGGTCTCTAAGAAAATATACAGTTAGGGGAAAATAAAGGATTAAACTAAAATGCATCATCCCCTATTTTTTAGATAGGTTCTCACTGTGGCCTCAAAGTTTCTATATAGCCCAAACCAGTTTCTGACTTGCTATCCTCCTGCCTCAGTCTCATGAATGCAGGGATGTATAGACATGTGCCATCATACCTAGCCTTCAAAATGCATCTTTTAAAATTTATTTTTATTTTATGCATATGGGTGTTTTGCCTGCATGTATGTATGTGCACCACATTTGTACAGTGCCTGCAGAGGCCAGAAAAGGATGCCAGATCCCCTGGAACTGGAGTTAAGGACAGTGTTAGCCACCATGTATGTGCTGGGACCCAAACCAAGAGCAGCCACTGCTATTATAACTGCTGAGCCATCTCCTCGGGCCCAGGCTGCATCTTAAGAGCAGTGACTTGTCTTGGGAACTTAAGTGGCTAGAAGAATACTAGACATATAGTAGGGGTCCAGGAAATGTTCGTATAATGAATGGAAAGAACTTTCTGAGAAAAATAAAAGAGTAATGAAGTTGCCATGCGCTTGCTAAAACATGGCCAGAGAACAGGCTTTCTGAAATACCTACGAGGTGTCAAAACTGATGGAGTCTAGGCTTCCAGGAATCAATCATGAAGATAAAACAGTGGTACTTACTGTATGCCAGGTAGATTATTACTAGTATTACAATGGCAATTATTGATAGGATAAAGACCCAGAGTTGGGGCTGGCTATCAGGAGGGTCCCCTGGGCCTGTGGAGAGAAAAGAAGGATCTCAGCTGTCATGTAGGTCTACTGCCTGGTTCCCATCCTGGTTCTCCTCAGCATGCACCTGTGGAGTCTTTGGCTTTGCCAGGTCAGCTCACTGATTCACAGCTGCTAGCATTGCCGTGCATAATTCTTTATCAGATGTATACTGTAGTAGACTAATTCAAATGTCAGGTATTTAATATGAAAACGGTAATTTGAACTTTTATATTTACTGAGTTAACCTGGCATCACAAAAGACTTAAAGGAGATACTTTAAAAGGCATCTTGTCAGCCGGGTGTAGTGGAGCATGCGTGTAGTCCCAGCACTTGGGAGGCAGAGGCAGGCAGATCTCTGTGAGTTCAAGGCCAGCCTGATCTACATAGTGAGTTCCAGGACAGCTGGGGCTATAGGGAGACCCTGCTTCAAAAAGACAAAAAAAAAAAAAAAAAAAAAAAAAGGCATCTTGCCTTCATAGCTCATTTCTATAGCTGTTAAAGTTAGGTCTTACTAGTAGGAATTGTTTGATGATATGTTCTAGGTACACCTTATTGTCTCTCCTCTAGCTCTCTCCTTTCTACTGGCATGTCACACCCTCCACTCTTCCCCCACTTTTAAACTCCACACAGTAAAGATGCAAGAGACTCTTCACATTCAGATGCACCTGTTCCACCTTCTAACCTTAAGCTTCTGGGAGGATGGAAGAGATCTAGCAAAGAACTAATAGTGGATGTCAATGCTCTGCAGGCTAGCTTCTGATGGACTTCCAACCTCACAGGGAGCTCAGGGGGGATGCAAAGAGGAGATGGGCAGGAGGAGAAAGATCAGTGTATGTGGTACTGCCACCCAGCCCTCCTCATCAGGGGCATCACTATACTGTTTATGTTTCAGTCCCTTAAAGGAATAGTTAGCAGCATCTGAAGAACTGTAGGGAAAAAATGGAAAGAAACATTAACAACTCATCCAATTTTTAGTTTCTCTGGAACGACTTACAGGGAAATATGGAACATTTACTTGCTTATTTGTAATTTTTCAGATTACCAAGCCTAGCAGATAGAATTTGACCTTTAGCTTATTTCAGCATTTGGCCCGCTGGACCCTCTCATTCTTGACTTCTGCAACCCTGCATGCATCCTTCTGTTTTGGCTTGCTGCACTCAGCTTTGTCTGCAGGCTCTTCTCCCTCTTCTTGTCCTTTCAATATCATTATTCCTGTGGTGTCTGTGGCTCTGGGTGACTTGGGTTATCTCATCCACACCCAGAGCTTGAAATGCCATGTGATGTCTAAATCTGAATGCTGTATTTCTTGTCTCATATTTGGGCTTATATTTGGTTTTATGCTTCCACCTGCTGACTAGATGGTTGGAAGTCAACTTCTCCACCCAATGAAAACTGAACTCACTGTATTCTTTTCAGAGTATATCTACTGCCTGTATTTGCCATTATGGTGAGTGACATCATTAGCTACCCAAGTAAGAATGAGACATTTTCTTTATTCTCACTTACTATGCTGTATCAGACTATTCCTGATACTGATTTCCCCAGATCACCTGCAGCAAATGCTGTAGTTTAGATTTTTCTCACCTGCCACCTACTAGCCTCCAAACTGGTCTCTTTGCCTCATTCTAAAATGAATATCTGATCATAGCACACCTGAACTGAGTAGAGAGCGCTGGTTTCTTCTTGTTCTATACCAGGTTGCAAGGAAACCTCAAATGATTACCAGGATCGCTCCTGCAGAGCAGAATGACACATGGAGCAACAAAGAAGCACTGGCTGGTGTTGCCAGCATCTGGGAGTTGTGTAGGCTCTGGCTCCTCTTGGCTTCTCTCAGAGAAGCTGCACAAGCCTCATTCGGCCCAGAGTGACTGTGTGCATGTGCATGTGTGCGTGTGTGTGTGCGTGTGTGTGTGTGTGTGTGTGTGTGTAAAGAGGACCCAGTAACAGCCAACTGGCTCTGTAGTGATGCCTTTTAGAAACTGTGAGCACCGCACAGGTGTAGACCTGGAACCCAAAGTGCACAGCTGGGGGAGGGCAGCTACCCATAAAGATTAGACACCATGAGTGGGGTCTCTTAGATTTACCTCTTAACAGCTTATCAAGAGTTGACATATCCAGCAGATCTAGACCAAAGAATGATATAGCCAACTTTAATGAATAAATTTGTTTTTTCCCCTGATTGGGTGTTTATAGCAATGCTTTACTCATATTAACCTATAACATTTCTATGAACCATATACCTAAATATGTTTGTAGAGATAGTCCTTGACTACCTGCAAATGGTATCACTTGTTTCTATTGTCCAGTTAGTGAGACTTAAAGTTTTTTTAGTCTAAACTTCTCCAACCAGGACGAAACCTTTAAGTTGGCAAGCAACAGTGCCTGGGGCAAACCTGATCTACCACCTGTTTTTAAAAATGGAATTTTAGGAACCAGAGAGATGATTCAATAATTAAGGGCACTTGCTGCTCTTCCAGAGGACCAGAGTTCAATTCCCAGCACCCATGGTAGGCAGCTCACAACTGCCTGTAACTCCAGATCCAGGGGATCCAATGCCCTCTTCTGACCTCTGAGGGCACCCACACACATAGCACACATTCACACACACACACACACACACACACACACACACAAATAAAAAATAAATCTTTTTTAAAAATAAAGTTTTAAGCTGGGCATGGTGGTGCATGCCTTTAATCCCAGCACTTGGGAGGCAGAGGCAGGCAGATCTCTGTCAGTTCAAGGCTCACCTGGTCTACATAGCAAGTTCCAGCTGGGGCTATAGGGCGACCCTGTCTCAAAAAGACCAAAAAAACAAAATAAAATAAAGTTTTAAGTGGGGTGTGGTAGCACATTTTTCTAATACCAGAACTTAGGAGGCTAAAATAGGAAGATTGTGAGTTCAAGATCTTTGAGTTTTATTCATTCGCTGATGTCCACTTCACAGCCTGTTTTACTCCACGGCAGAAAGGAGTAGCTGGCAAAATCGTCTGTGTGACCTGTAACTCCAAAGTCCTATCTTACTCTTTTCAGAAAAATTTCATCAACTTTTGTCCCAGAATGCCACATGCTTATATTCCAGAACAGTGTCCAATGTAAAATATATTCAAACTACTATTATTAACTTTTGTGTAAACTCTCACCTTTACAATAAACTAAAGTTAGTTAATAATGTATTAAAAAGTAAACATAAACTATCTTCACTTTATGATTCAAAATTCATTTTAATAAAGTTTTAGAACACATAAAAGGTGATTAAGAGATGAGTTTGGAACATTAAAACCATGCCAAAATTTGGTTTATATTAGAAGGAATTTTTCCAGGAAATTTTATTACCCAAGGAAAACATAGTTAGAGAATCCATCTCAAGTCTGAAAGAGCTAGAATAAATCCCACACTAGAATGAACTAGTAGATCACCTACAATATCTCCTCAACTGTAAGTAAAGAGAAGAGGAAGACATCTCACACTGCAGGTATATGTACCACTGCTATCATAATGCATTGTCTCTTCACTATTCAGACACAAACTGTATTGTTGAGAGTGGGATTTGGGTTGGAGGAGAGCCCCACTGGTCCTCTATAGACTCGGCCATTCCTGTCAAGTGTCTGAGTTCTCCTCAGACACTAACCATTGGTTTAAGATGTAGGTATTTTATATTTTAGATGATTTCCCCTCTTAGAAAAAGAGAATTTTATGTTTCTTTCCTATAAGGTTAATTATTGGCTCAAAAATTACTTTTTCACCCCCTCAGGCATTGTCCTTAGAGAGTTTTATCACTCAGATTATCGTTTGCCTCAGAATGAACGAATAGCTTTTTGTTGAGTTTTGTTTTGTGATGCTGGAGATCAAACCGGGGCTTTGTATATGCTGAGCAAATACTCTAATCCCTGCACCCAGCCCAAACCAGTAGTCCTTTAAAAAAAGTTCACTCAAAAAAAGGAAATTATTTGATACCTAGGACTATTGGGGATGGGGTACCCAAAAGGAAAATGCTAAAGCCCTAGGGGAAATTACAAGGTTGGACAAAATTTGGTACTTTAAGTAAAGACAATATTGTTCCACAACTTGCAAGATAACCACCTGATGGTTAGCAATTATTAGATGTGTAAAATTTGGAATATTAGCCAGGTGTGGTGGCCCACACCTGTAGTCCCAGCACTTGGGAGGCAGAGGCAGACAGATCTCTATGAGTTCACAGCCAGCCTGGTCTACATAGTGAGTTCCAGGCCAACTGGGGCTATAGGGAGGTCCCGCTTCAAAAAGACAAAAAAAAAAAAAAAAAGTATTGATTTAAAGAAAGTAAAATTAGTATCGTCACCTTATCATCACACTTGTTCTGTGACCTCAGTAAGTCATAATGGCACATTTTGTATGTCTAAAATAACTGTAAATTTACCATCAAAGTCAACTCAATTTTAAAATGTAGCTGGCTGAGTTATTTTTTTAAGTTCCGTACAGTAGACACTTTCCAAGATAATGTTGCTTACGTTTTTCCCAGGTGAAGTTCTTTAACACTTCAGAATCTCCGTACTCAACACGACACACAATGCTGTGGTTGTACGTTGCATTGAAATCCATTTCACTGGTCACGTTGTACAGTTTGGTTTCAGGATCCTGGGAAATTGTTGTATTGATGTCAGTTAATACAGTTCCATTTTCCCACCAGGAGAGGCGAGGCTGGGGAAAACCTCCAGTGGTTGAGCACATTATCCTTTTAATGTCAGGAAATGGATCTTCAAGTTCAGTTATGACTGGGACAGGGAAGTCAGCTAAAGAAAGAACAAGGGTACAATTATACATGGGTATGTGTGTACATGGATTTATATTAAATCAGTTACCTAGCTTTAACGAGAATGATACAATAACAGTTTGCAACTCCTCATTAATGAGCAAATGATTTGAACTGGACAGGTGTTTACTTAGAGAAAGGAGTAGGTTTGTGTAAATAAACGTCAAGATAATACTTGTTATTATAAGAGAAGAGAAAACTAACGGACAGTATTATGGGGATCTTCCTGGTTAGGTCTGGAACTTCTTGTCTTCATAGCAATCCTAGGCAACTGGACATAGATCAAAGGAGGTCACAGATCAAGTCAAGTGCAGTGGTGCAGGCTGGAGTCCCAGCTACTCAGAAGGCTGAGACAGGAGGGTTTTGTGAGCCCACGTTTGGGAACAGGCCTGGACAGTATAGGGACATGCTGTCTCTTAAAAAATAAAAATATTGCCTAGCACTAACTTGATATGATTTAACTAGTACAATTTTCATTTAACAAATAAACAGATTTAGGGAACTCATAATCCTAATGGCAGACCTGGGATTAGCATTCAGATGTCTCTGACACCATGGCTGTCTTTGCTGTGCTTCTTTTTCTTTCCTGCCTCTCCTGGTACTTGAAGTACAGAGGGGCTTTTTCCCCCTACATGTTTATTAAAAGCATGTGTGAAGGCACCTACAACCCAAACCCAGAAAACAGATAGGAACCTATGCATATCTACCTGTATGGTCTCGCCTCACCTGTACCTCGATTTCCCAATGCTGACAGTAACCATCACCCTAAATCTGTGTGCTGCATTCCCTTGCTTCCTATAAAGCAGTCTTTTAACTGAGCATGGTGGCACACACCATTAAGCCCAGTACTTTGGAAGCTGAGTTGATAGGAATTCAGGCCAGCCTAGGCTACATAATGAGTTCTGTCCCACTGGAGGCTACAGTGTGAAACCCTGCCTAAAAAATGTTTTTTAAAAAATGTGTTTTATAGACCTCACCATAATTAAAGCTGTATACAACAAACCCACAGCCAACATCATCCTAAATGGAGAAAAACTGGAAGCATTCCCATTAAAATAAGGAACCAGACAAGATGTCCACTGTCTCCACTCCTTTTCAACATAGTGCTTGAAACTCTTTCAAGAGCAATAAGACAAGAGAAGGAAATTAAAGGAGTAATAATTGGAAAAGAAGAGATCAAATTATCCCTTTTGCAGGCAATATGATATTATATCTAAGAGACACCAAAAATTCCACTAGAAAACTCCTAATGCTTTCAGTACAGTGGCACATTACAAAATTAATCTACAAAAGTCTGTAGCCTTTCAGTCTATATACCAATAACAAGCAATCAGAGAAAGAGAACATGGAAACACTCCCTTTCATGATAGTGGCAAAAATAAATAAATAAGTAAATAAATAAGTAAAAATCTCGGAATTAACCTGACCAAAGACATTAAAGACTTCTACAATGAAAATTTTAAATCTTTA